ATCAATGTACGAGAACTGATGGCAGTACGCCTAGCGTGTCAGGCGTTTCGCGGTCTCCTACATGGCCGTTGTGTGGCAGTCCTCACAGACAACACCACGGCCATGTTCTACATCAACAAGCAAGGGGGAGCCCAGTCATCCCCCCTGTGCCAGGAGGCTATTCGCCTGTGGGAGTTTTGCATAGTCCACTCGATACATCTGATGGCATCGTTTTTCCCAGGAGTCCAGAACACGCTGGCAGACCATCTCAGCAGGTCATTCCAGACTCACGAGTGGTCAATTCGTCCAGATATCATCCACTCCATCTTCCGGAGGTGGGGTTTTTCCCAGATCGACCTATTTGCCTCGTGCATCAATTGTGCCAAGTGTTTTCTTCTCTCCAAGGGCGCTCTCAGGGCTCCCTATCAGACGCTTTTCTACTTCCGTGGAAAGACCAGCTTTCCCTCCATTCCAGCTGGTCCACAGAGTCCTACTCAAGCTCCGCAGGGACAAGGCATGTATGATTCTAGTCGCCCCAGCATGGCCCAGGCAGCACTGGTACACCACACTCCTGAAGTTGTCGGTAGAGCCTCCGATCATGCTCCCACTTTGGCCGGACCTAATTTCCCAGGACCACGGACAACTCTGTCATCCCAACCTGCAATCGTTCCACCTTACAGCATGGATGCTGCATGGCTAACTCGGGCAGAGTTACTCTGCTCACAATCGGTGCAGTAGGTTCTGTCAGGCAGCAGGAAACTCTTCACTCGGGCCACCTACTTAGCCAAATGGAAGCGCTTCTCCTGTTGGTGCGAGCAGCGCGCCACGCTCCTCTTGCAGGCGTCGATACCGCTTATACTAGACTATCTCCTATCAATAAAGCAGCAGGGCCTTGTGATATCATCTGTCAGGGTGCACCTAGCAGCTATCTTGGTGTTCCATCCAGGAGAACATGCTTCCTCGGTCTTCTCTAACCCAATGGTAGTTAGATTCCTAAAGGGCTTAGATCGCCGCTATCCACAACTGCGTCAACCAGTTCCGGCGTGGGACCTTAACCTGGTCCTCTCCAGGCTCAAGGGGCTCCCGATCGAGCCAATGGCTACCTGCTCACTCCTTTACTTATCTTGGAAGACAGCCTTCCTTGTAGCCATCACTTCAGCGAAGCGTGTTTCTGAAATCAGAGCCCTCATGTTGGAGCCTCCGTATACAGTCTTCCTTAAAGACAAGGTGCAGCTTCGCCCCCACCCTGCCTTTCTCCCCAAGGTGGTATCAGCTTTTCATGTGAACCAGGATATTTTCCTCCCAGTCTTCCATCCAAAGCTGCACGCTACTCGGCAGGATCAACATATGCACTCTCTGGACATTCGCAGGGCCCTCACATTCTATATTGAGCGTATGAAGCCGTTTAGGAAGACGACTCAACTCTTCGTTGCAGTGGCTGACCGGATGAAAGGCCTACCAGTCTCATCGCAACGTATCTCCTCTTGGATCACGTCCTGTATCCATGCTTGCTACGACTTGGCCGGTGTCCCGACGCCACGCCTCACCGCCCACTCTATGAGGGCTCAAGCCTCGTCGACTGCTTTCCTGGCACAGGTTCCAATCCATGAGATCTGTAGGGCGGCGGTTTGGTCATCTGTTCGTACCTTTGCTGCTCACTACATGTTAGTTCAGCAGTCTAGAGACGATGCCGCATTTGGCTTCGCAGTTCTGCACTCAGCGGTGTCTCACTCTGACCCCACCGCCTAGGTAAGGCTTGGGAGTCACCTAATTGGAATTGATATGAGCAAGCACTTGAAGAAGAAAAAACGGTTACTCACCTTTGTAACTGTTGTTCTTAGAGATGTGTTGCTCATATCCATTCCAAACCTGCCCTTCTTCCCCACTGTCGGAGTAGCCGGCAAGAAGGAACTGAGGGGGCGCTGGGTCGGCTGGGGTATATATCCAGTGCCATGAAGGTGCCACTCCAGGGGGCTCCATAGCCGACCCACTGGGTGTTGCTAGGGTAAAAATTCTCCGACGATCGTGCACGCAGCGCGCGCACACCCTAATTGGAATGGATATGAGCAACACATCTCAAAGAACAACAGTTACAAAGATAAGTAACTGTTTTTTCTCCTGATGAAATTAACAGGTAGCAGGTTTAAAACAAAAGGAAGTATTTCTTCACACAATATACAGTCAACTTGTGGAACTTGTTGCCATGGGATGTTGTGAAGGCCAAAAATATAACTTGTTCATAAAAGAAATAAAATTCATGAAGGAAAGTCCATCAATGGCTAATAGCTAAGATGGGGACAAGGCCCCCCTGATCCAGGTGTCCCTAAACCTCCAGCTACCAGAAGCTAGGACTGGACAGCAGGACTTGAAATTGCCCTGTTCTGTTCATTCCCTCTGATGCATCTGGATCTGGCCACTGTTGGAAGCCAGGCTAGATGGACCATAGGTCTTGTGCAGTATAGCTGTTCTTATGTTCTTAAGTTCTGATCTATCTTTTAAAACTGTTTTCTTCTTTTGTTAGTCATTCCCAACAAAACAGGTCAAAGTTGCCCCTTTTTATTCCTTTCTTAGTCTTTCCACAGCTATTGGGGGTGGAGGGATAGCTCAGTGGTTTGAGCATTGGCCTACTAAACCCAGGGTTGTGAGTTCAGTCCCTGAGGGGACCACTTAGGGATCTGGGGCAAAATCAGTACTTGGTCCTGCTACTGAAGGCAGGGGGCTGGACTCAATGACCTTTTGGGGTCCCTTCCAGTTCTATGAGACAGGTATATCTCCATATATTTAATTAATATAGTTTTAAATTTATTCTCAAATGTGTAAACTGTGTTTGTGTTTAACTAGTCCTTCCTGCATACATTCTTAATTCTTTAGAACTATATGGCTTATCTCTTTACCACCACTTTATAATATATCTTGTAAACAACTGTGAAATCATATCTGTTATTTGTTAAAGACTTTTGTTCTAGAAGTGCATGGTAGTTCCCATCTAATCTATTTGATGTATTTCTGAGGCACCTGCCTGCTTGCTATCATAATGTGTACAACAGGATGTAGACGTACTAAGTAATATGTAAAAGCAATACATTCCTCCTTGCTTCTGATAGTAGCAGCAATGAGGCAGAAATAGTATAGGTGCGACAACTGTGTCCTTCAACTTTTCTCTCCTCTCTCAACAAAAACTCTGTACTAGTATCTCTTGGTATAGCAATCAGCATTTGTGATTGTATAAAATTCTAGAAACTACCTTTCACTAAATAATTCATACATGTAGTGGCATTCTTTCCTGCTCCCACAAAGTTCTCTTTTCAGGGGATGTCAGAGGTCCCTTTGTCCAGGCATTTACTGTTGGGTCCTGTGTAAGGATTCAGTATGCATACAGATAAATGTCCAGTCTTGTTATGGAGGCTTGTTCTGACTACATTGTTCTCTCACCCTTCCTGGATCTTAGTTAATTCTAAGTGTATGTTCAGTCAAAGAAGTGCTAGCCAAATACCCCCTATTTCCAAGTCACTCAGAACAGCAGAAATATTTATTAAGGAGAACGATCCTAAGAGGTCAGATATTTCCCAAAACTGCCTCCACTCTCACTTACAGTATGCTTTCCCCATTCTGCAAATATTTTCTGTTTCAGCAGGATGTTATAACTTGTTTAATTAATAGTATTTCCTAGAAGGAGAAGTTAATGTTTGTTTTAGAAGAGTTTGGAGGTTAGACATATGATTAAGTTGCACAATTATACTCATCTTTTATTTTGTGGTTTAAAGGCAGGTATATCTGATGTCCCAATTGAGAACTAGCTAATTCAGCAATTCTAAAACTTGCTTACTATGTGTAATATTTAAAAGTACTTGATACACCAATACCACCTTTTATAATTAGGTGCAGTCATAACAGATCCTTATTTTGACACATCTAAAAAAATCCTGCTCTTTTCTCACAGTTACAGAATGAGCTGTTTTCCTTTTTTCTCTCTCTCTCCATGAGCAACCTTTGAAGCAATAGACCCAGTGCTGCACTTCTCTCAGGGTGGAATCTCACAAGTCACTTTTAGACTGGGTCTCCGGGCTCTGGCACCTCCATGTACCAACTGTAATTACTTCAAACGCCTGACTGTGTTTGGCCATTTGCACAAATTTTTTTCAGGAGCCGTGCACAGTAATCTGTGTATTTTCTTATTTAAATATAGCACCTCTTTTCTTATTAGACAGTGAATAACTATATTGAGTTTAGCCAACTTACTGGTATGATTCTTTTGGCCTCTAAAACCTCTCACCCACTTGATTATGGTGAATGGAAATTTTGTCTGAGTGGGGTCAAGTGGGACAAGGAAAGCTGTTGGTTCCCTCTCTAGAGGGAATAAATATAGGGAAGGCAGGGAGCAGAGCAGCCCAGTTGTTGTTTCTTTCTCAAGAGGAGGACTCGAACTGCCAAAACAGCTATATTTTTCCTGGGGTGGAGAGGAGGGATGGAAGAACAAAAAGGCCACTAATCCTTTGAGACCAAGAGGGAGGAGCTGGAGAACAGAATGCTCAGGTTCAGAGGAGGAAAATCTGGGAAGCTGTAGGCCTCTTGTACTACCAGGAGGATAGCAACTCGCTCTTAAATCCTAGACTGCAGGCTGAAAAGAGGACCTCTGCAAAGAGGTGGGGGCAGAATTAATTTATGGGTTTGGAGTGTGGGAGTGAACGTGTGTCAATCTAGTGTAAGAAAATAAAACAATAATTAGTAAAATGGAGGTGGGGGAGAGAATTGGGCGGTAACACACTCTTTAATTTTATCCAGGCTAGTATGGAATTATTCCTTCAACATTTGCCTAACTACATACAAAATACTACATTAAGAGAACATTAAGGTTGCAAAGTCAAACACTGAAAAGTGAGGAAATGCCAGAATTAAGGTTGCCTATCTAACCTTAATGTGGCGCCCTTGTTAAATGTTACAATTGATTTTCACGTTTTGTACTTTTGCATTGTAGTGCACACTTAACTGCATACATATTAATACTTTTTTTTAATTTACAGGTGTTTCCGTTTCAAGAAACGTTATTGAGACCAGTTTGATGCTAAAGAACATCTTTATCAGAAGTTTTTATAGATGTGATAAACTTTTAATACCAGAATGGCTCACATAAGAATACTAAGACGATCGTTTAAGAAACTGTTTTCCCACTGGAAGCTTTGGAAGTTTAGCATTGTTGTTTTTGTTTTTCTAGTATTTTTGTTTTTGTTACAAAGAGAAGTAGGTGTTCAAGACGCTAAACATGAACCAGGGATTGAACCAATTGTGGGAAAGAGAAGTGATGTACTAGGTTTCATGTTAAATGCTGTGAACAATATTAAAGGTGCAAAGCCAAAAATGCAAATAAAAGCACCTGTTAGGCAAACCAATATTCCTGGAGAGAGACACTGTTTGCCAGGACATTATACGCTAGCAGAACTGAAACCTTTCTTAGAGCGACCTCCTCAGGACCCCAATGCCCCTGGAGCTTCTGGTAAAGCATTCAAAGCTATCAATTTAAGCCCAGAAGAGGAGAAGGAGAAGGCGCGTGGGGATGAAAAACACTGTTTTAATGCTTTTGCAAGTGACAGAATTTCTTTGCACCGAGATCTTGGACCAGACACTCGACCTCCTGAGTATGTTGAAATCCATACATTGAGAATAACATAATTATCAAATATAGAGAGACCCAGCATATTCTCAGAGCAACTTGGGCAGCATTTAAATACACCGAACACTGCAAACAGATGTCATATAACAGGGGTCGGCAACCTGCAGCACGCGTGCCAAAGATGGCACGCAAGCGGATTTTTAATGGCACGTGTCTGCCTGCCGGGGTCCCGGTCCCATTCAGCTCCCCCCCCGCCCACCGCTCTCTCCTGCGGGGGCAGGAGGCAGAAGCTTGGTCCTGCCAGCAGCCAAGCTCCCCCTCTCCCCTGCTTCTTCCCCCAATGTGGTGCTTTCCTGCGCCGATCAGCTGATCACCCTTGCCAGGGAGAGGGGGAGCAGAGCCGCAGCATGCTCGCTGCTCCGGGGAGGAGGCAGAGAAGAGGTGGGGACGGAGTCCTGGGGAAAGAGGTGGGGACGGGGCATATCCCCTCCAGCCCCCTGCTGTGAGCACCCCCACGAGCCGAGCACCCCAGCCCTCTGCCCTGACCCCTGAACCCCCCCATCACACACACACCCAGCCCTCTGCCCTGACCCCTACACTGTCTCACACACCTCCAGCCCCCATTCTGACTTCTGCACCCCGACACATACCCAGCCCCCCTACACCCCATACCTGACTCTTGCACCCCCCCACATCCCCACCCTGAGCACCAAACGGGAGCTCCTGCAAACCCCTCCCCCCCACACACACACACATTCCCACCTGCACCCCCGGTCTGGGGTCCCGGCCACCGGCCCCGCTCAGCCCACTGCCGGTCTGAGGTCCTGGCTGCTGGCCCCTTGCCAACCAGGGTCCCGCAGGCTCAGGGGCAGCTCCAGGCACCAGCGCACCAAGCGTGTGCCTGGGGCGGCAAGCCGCGGGGGGGGCGGCCTGCCAATGGCGTGTGGGCAGCAGGCAGGGACTTTCGGCGGCAATTTGGCAGTGGGTACGCCGAAGGCACGGGACCGGCGGACCTCCCGCAGGCATGCCGCCGAAAGCCGCCTGACTGCTGTGCTTGGGGCGCAAAATACAGAGTCGCCCCTGCGCAGGCCCTGCTCAGCCCGCTGCCGAACTAGGTGAACTGAACCCCAGGCCGGCAGCGGGCTGAGTGGGCCGGCGGCGTAAAATCAGCGTTTTAATTTAATTGGAAATTAAGCTTCTTAAACATTTTGAAAACCTTGTTTACTTTACATACAACAATAGTTTAGTTTTATAATATAGACTTATAGAGAGAGACCTTCTAAAAAACGTTAAAATGTATTACCGGCACGCGAAACCTTAAGTTAAAGTGAATAAGTGAAGACTCGGCACACTACTTCTGAAAGGTTGCCGACCCCTGCTCTAAGCCAAAGTCAAAGAGATTTGCATTTTTTTACATATAGGAAGAACCTAACCTTTATGCTCCTACTTGATAGGTAATTATAGTATCTATATGGCATACATACTGGGAAATGGCTGGTGTTTAGAACAAAAACAATTATCTGGCTGATATGTAATAACCAAACACAGGAAAAATAAAGCTTTAAATGGTTTTCTGTGTTGCTTGGTGAACCATTCTGAAATTTGTATATCTGTTCTCATGAAGTTTTAAGACCTTCATTTACATGGTCTTTGAGTCATGTTTTTTCAGATGCAGATGCGATATGTATGCCTGGCAAAAAATGAAGTTGTGCTGTTCCACCTGGCTACCTAATAGCTGCCACCCACCTTTCTTTCCTCTCAAGCGAGTAGCAGTAGAAGTGATTTTTTTGAGAATGGAGCGTGAAAGGGTTTTGCAGCGTCCTTTTCTTTGTAGTTCCTCTTCTCCGTTGTCCAGAAGTTATGTATCTTCCGTCCTCTCCTGCTGCTTCTCCTCAAACCTCCCAGTCATGGGTAAACCATGCCACATAATCTTTTCTTCCATTACATCATTGGGAGTTGTCTGCTGGGTACACTGAGCCCTCAAGTGTTTAGGCCAGCAGATCTGGGACTTGTGCTCCTGCTTTGCACTTGTACACAATTCCATTTAAGTATCTTGAAGCTTTAAAACTAACGTTTTAAAGTTCTGTATCTCCTCTGTGAACTAAGCAAGTATTAACCCGCCTTACAGATGGGGATGCTGAAATACAGGCTACATAAGTGGCACAGGCAGGAACAGAACCCGTATCTGACTCCCAGTTTGGTAATTTTCAGTCCCAGACCATTCTTATTTTCAATAAAGGCAAACATTTTTATCTGGGGTAAAAGACCAAATTAAAAGTTTTTCTTTTTTGTTTTGTTGCTGAATTGTTGCCTGTTATGTGGCTTTATTTGTGTGCGTATTGTTTTTAAATTAGGAGTTGTTAAACTATATCTTTTAGATGAAGATAGTTTGTTTCTGGATCGTATACATAAATTAAATTAACTTTAATATTAGCCTTGATTTGTTAAGACATCTTGTTTGTAATGTCATGTAGACAGCCAACATTTTTAGGAACATAGGAATGCTGTACTGGCTCAGACCAGTAGTTTATCTAGTCCAGAAGACTGTATCCAACAGCGGCCAATACTAAATGCTTCAGAGGAAGGTGCAAGAAATTATTTGGTATGCAGGTATAGGTGCAGTTATAGACAATGCCCCCAAGGAAAGTCTTCTCCTAATCCTTAGTAGTTAGAGCCTGGTTATGAAGGAGAGTGTAAATTCCTTCCAAAACATTTGATTTTTCCTCTCCTTCCACTCTCAGTATTTACTATTATAACTCTGGATATTCTTATTATGCATCTTGATGTCTATACCCTTTTAAGCTCTTGGACTCAATGACTTCCACAGACTGACTGATTGCATTCCAGAAAGTATTTCTTTCAATATGCCACCTTCCAGTTTAATTGAATGTCCCCTTAAATCTATAATGCTCACTTCAGTGATTAGTAAGTAATAATAATGCCTAGGAGAAACTGGATGAGTCAAAACCTGCATGCACAATTCCTATTGACTTCCATGGGTGATATATGGTTGACTCCAAGAGGAAAACTGGACTCTATTTCAAAGGTACTTGACATCCCTGCTGTCAGAAGTGACTTCATTGCCCAAATAGATATTCATGAGGTATTAAGAACTGGCTATCAAGAATTCTATTTGAGATGCTGTATGACACTTTCCATTTCTTTATTTTCCAACGGTTGGATGGAACTAGAAATTATAAGAGGGGAAAAAATAAAATGTCAGTAATTTCTCTGTTACAAAAAGGGTGTTTTTTTAAAGACTGAATTAGAGTTCATATTAAATTTTATATAATGTCTAAAATCTCTTTTAATCTTTAGATGTATTGAGCAAAAATTTAAACGTTGCCCGCCACTGCCTACTACAAGTATCATAATAGTTTTTCACAATGAAGCATGGTCTACTCTGCTAAGAACTGTTCACAGTGTGATGTATACTTCTCCTGCCATACTCCTAAAAGAAGTTATTTTGGTGGATGATGCCAGTGTAGATGGTAAGAAATTTTTTTTTTTTTAAATCTTACTTTTCTAATTAATCCATGTTAAGATTACATTCGGGATTAATCAGTCAGTGACATCGGTTTTGCATCAATAATGGTTAGAAAGAAATGAGAAAGACCGTTATCTCTTTGCTTAGTGTGTGTGTTTCAGTTTGTAAACACTTGTGTGTGTAATTAAGTTTACTTAATTGGTTTTAATACTCACATGCAAGATAGAAAATAGAAGGTTTTTCTCCCTTCTGTTTTTAACTCCATTTGGCAAATATTCATCCCAGTGTTCTAAGTCTGTACCTCCCTAACACAAAGTTTATATGTTTAAATGGTTTATTACTGTTTAAATTGCATAACTGTGCCACTGTGATTAGTGACCACATTAACCCTCGGGGAAACAAGTTATATTGCACTTTGTAGAAAAAGGAGTCCTAGGATAAAGCAACCTACTACTAACCTATGATTATAGGCAATGTTTACAATGATCTGCAAACATTTATACATGTGTTCCTCTTTAGGCCTGTAAATGGTCTCATTAAACTAAGTGTTTGAAGATAAGGGACAATATGAGAAGAAATGATTACATATTAAAAGGTGGAGCTTTAGGTAATTGTCTAAATAATCACAGGTGCATATACTTTGGATGATTACAAAGCCAATTTTACAAACTTGCATACACTGAAATACTGAGGCAGACATCTGAAAGAACACACATTCAGATCAATGCACCTATGGTTGTTTGCAAGTCCACGTATTTGGAATATCAACAAAGTTGGAGATACGGTGCATTCGGAAGCAGAAGGCCACTTAATATTAATATGGAAGTGAGAAGATACAAAAACTTCCAAGAAAAATTAAACCTCAGAGGCAAATAAATCTTCTTAAAGATCTTTACCCATCTGTATATTTAGAGCTCCTACTGTGAGTAAACATTGTAGCTCTTGATTGTTTATGCTTGCAAGATATGCACATGCACCCATATGTACAGGTAAAACCTGCACTTGTGTATTTGTGTATGTAATTTGGGTGGCGAGGTGCACAATTACTGAGTTTGCTTGCAACATTAGGTGATACAAATGCAAAATGCAGGCCTATTGGAAATGTCCCTTGCACTGTGAATGCTTTTATAATTTTTTTTGTAAAGTAGAATCAGTAATGACCAACAGGAACTGCTCTTTAGTAGAAGTCACTCCTGTCAGAGACCCCAAAAAAACCCAAAAACCTGAATTCAAGTCTTGCTTCCACATTGCAAAATCCTTTAAAATGTATTTTATTTGGACTTGCATACACTTGCATTAGCTTTTGATGCCTACTATAGAATCTTAATAATCACATGGACACAATAGTAATAAAATTGAATGCAGGCTACCTGTGCCAGATATACTGATTTTATTTTAGTCTCATCTAAATGAAATGGTACCCATTGTTTTCATCTTTTAAAGCTTTAAGAATTGGGATGGTTTCTCTTCAAATATATATTTTATAAACCTCAAATTTCAAAATATGTTTAATTATAGGCTACTCAGCAAAATTTAACCTTTTCAAAAGTTATATTTTAACATACTAGCATGCAAAGTTGATCGTGACGTTAAAGAAAAAAAAATTAAGGAATCTCAGGCAATGGGTTTCTATTGAATACTCTGAAATGTTTTTGTCTTTTCAGAATACTTGCATGATAAACTAGATGAATACGTGAAACAGTTTCAAATAGTTAAGGTAGTCCGACAAAAGGAAAGAAAAGGTCTAATCACTGCAAGATTATTAGGAGCTTCAGTAGCAACAGGAGAGACGCTCACTTTTTTGGATGCACATTGTAAGTACATCTGTGCTACTTGTATGATATATAGTAGTAGTATTTAAAATATCAAATATTTAGGAAACTGTATTGTGTTCATTTTATAAATCATCGTTTTCAATTTTACTTTGTTTTAATTTCCTTCTCAGTGTTAGAAATGTAAACTTTGCCAAATTTACCTTTTAATATAAAATAAGCATGGCGAAAGTTAATGCAATGCTGTCTAGAACAGTGCTTCTCAAAGTCAGGCCGCCGCTTGTTCAGGGAAAGCCCCTGGCGGTCCGGGCCGCTTTGTTTACCTGCCGCTTCCACAGGTTCAGCCCATCGTGGCTCCCACTGGCCGCGGTTCGCCACTCCAGGCCAATGGGGGCTGCGGGAAGGGCGGCCAGCACATCACTCGGCCTGCGCTGCTTTCCACAGCCCCCATTGGCCTGGGACAGCGAACCGCGGCAAGTGGGAGCCGCGATCGGCCAAACCTGCAGACGCGGCAGGTAAACAAACCAGCCTGGACCGCCTGGGGCTTTCCCTGAACAAGCAGCGGACTGGTTTTGAGAAGCACTGGTCTAGAAGAAGTGCTCAGTTGCTTGTGCCAGGGACTCTAAAGAGTTGACAAAATTGTCTAACTAAGCTTGGAGTCTGGACGAGGAAAGGGGGAGCATAGGCTCTGGAAGGTTTGCATGTTCATTCTGATGAACTATAGCATTTCTGAGTGCTTTATAAACATACGTTAATTGTCATAACCTTCCTGTAGCTAAGTACAGTTATTCCTATTTTACATATACAGAAATGGTTGCAGAGAGAGATTAAGTGACTAGAGTAAGAGGGTGTCAGTGTCTGAGCTGGGATTGAACCCAGGAGTCTCTTGCTATTGGTCCATGCTAGTTCACTAGAGCTCTCATACTGCTGAGCTAACTCTCCTTGGAACCCTCGGCTACAGTGGTAGCTAGGGTTACCAACTTTGGTTGGATGAATTCCTGAAGGTTTCATTGCATGACATTATCTTTAATTCCTGGAGACTCGAGGACAATCCTGGAGAGTTGGCAACCCTAGTGGTAGCTCATCAGGAAGCAGCAAGGTTGTAGGCAGTTGGTGGTAGCTGAGAAGGAGCTTCTTGTGGATCTTGGGTACCATTGACCACTTATACCATAGCCCACTACTACTGGGAATTGATCTGGGGTCTTGCTAAAACTGTGAGATCCATGGCTGTGGGGGTTTCATGAATTGCAAAGGCCATGAGTAGGTATATGGTGAGTAAGTAATTTATAAATTTTAACAGTGACAGACTTTCAGATATGATGATCAGTTTATATTGGCTTACAATTAAGGCTCTCTTCCCATTTGAATTGTTAACTATTAAGAAAGTACTAATCAACATTTACTTTTTAAATAGGCACATAAATAACATTAGTCAGCTAGATCATACTAGTGAAATTTGATGCAAGAGTAAGAAAATCTTTTAAAAAGAATTTCTAGCATAATCAAGAATTATTTACCAAGTATTTTAATGTTCATGAAACATTACAAATTCTAAAATGATTGTTATGGAAAATCATTCCAAAATGCTTAACGTTGTAGTTATGTTCCTGAAAAATGCAACTTTAAGTGAAACGATGCTAAGTGAATCCAATTTCCCCATAAGAATTCATGTAAAGTGGGGGGGGGGGGGGGGGGTTAGGTTCCAGAGAAAAAATTTTTCACCAGACAAAAGATACACACACACACACACACACACACAATAAGTTTTAAACAAACAATTTAATATTGTACACTACACAGCGATGATGATTGTGAAGCTTGGTTGAGGTGGTGAAGTCAGAGGGTGGGATATTTCCCAGGTAATGCCTTACTGCTAAATGATGAACTAGCTTTTGGCTGAGCCCTCAAGGGTTAACCCATTTTTGTTAATGTAGCCTAACGCTCTACAAGGCAGCACAAATGGAGGGAGGGGAGACAACATGGCAGACAGAGACACACACCCTGTGTGTGAGAGAGAGATGCACATTGCCCCTTTAAGTAGGCTGACCCCACTCGAAGTACACTGCCTTGTTAAATAGATAAGCAAGTTGAGACAGCAGCTGCTCCCAGGAAGCTCCCTCCATCCTGAGTCCTGTTGTGTCGTGTGGCCCCCCCAATGGAGATGGTGTAAGTGGGGTGCAGGAGCAGGGGGGAGGGACACACCCTGACATTAGCCCCCCTCTCTCCTGCCCCTCCCTGCACAGCAAGCAGAAGGCTCCTGGGAGCAGTTCCAAGCCAAAGGGCAGGAGCAGCACATGGCAGTGGGGGGAGGGATAGCTGCACTGCAGGCAATTGATAGCCTGCTGGGCGGCTGCTGCACAGGGAACTTAGGGGAGCTGATAGGGGGCTGCCGGTCCACCCTGGTTCCAAGGTCCACCCTGGTCCCTACCAGCTAGTTTCAACGGGTTGCTCTTTGTGCAAGCAGTGGACAAAGCAGGCGGCTACCAAATGATGTTATAAGGGAGCATTGCACAACTTTAAACGAGCATGTTCCCTAATTGATCAGCAACGTAACAAAGAAAGAATGTATATTTTGTTTCTCAATTACTTAGAATTGCATGTTCGAAATAAATTTTTTTGATTCACATCACACTTGATGTCACAACTTATAGAGCTGAATCTTTCATTAATTATCTTCAGCCTTAGCTCTTTGATTGCAGACTGTCTTTCACTGTGTCTCTCTTGTTCATGCCTGCTCTCATCCCAGGGCCTAGCCCAATCTTTACTTCACTTTGTCCTCCTCCTGGTCCCTTTTCTTAGTAAAAGTTTGTTTTGCTAATTTTTTTTTTAATGCCAGCACTTGCTTTTTTTCCTCCAGACACATGATCACTTATGCCAAAATCTAAGCCCACTCAGCAAGGTCTGGTTAGGTGCCTCTAAGCTAACATTTAATCTTTTAAAGAAAAAAAAAGTGTGGATTCTACAAAACATGACTCTGTTCAATAATAGTCCCTTAATTATACTTTCATTGTGAAGAAAAATTCCAGTGCTTCATTTAATTAATTCTTTTCTCTCCTGCCCCTCATTCCCATAGGTGAATGTTTTTATGGCTGGTTAGAGCCATTGTTGGCACGAATAGCGGAGAACTACACTGCTGTTGTAAGCCCTGATATTGCATCCATAGATCTTAATACTTTTGAATTCAGCAAGCCTTCTCCTTATGGACATAACCATAACAGAGGAAATTTTGACTGGAGTTTATCATTTGGATGGGAATCTCTTCCTGAACATGAAAATAAAAGAAGAAAAGATGAAACCTATCCAATTAGGTAAACAGTTGAGCTTGTAGAATATTTGAAATTCTTCACTTTGCAAATGGTTTGCTAAAAAAGTTCTAATTAGCAACTTCTAAACAAAGCATTTCTTTGCCTGAGGATGGGAATAGCAGCACTGGAATCAGAAGTCTTAATATCTTATGATTTGAGGTCTTTCACTTATTGGAATATTTTCTCTAGATTTTATTTTTTTTACAAATCAGATTTTTACAAACAACTTTAAAATGATAAATATAAACACATTGTCCTTCTCCAGTAGATTTTGTTTGTAATTTCCCATAATTGCTTCCAGCAATGGAAGCAGTGTTAGTCTGTCTACATGAGCACTTCTATCAGTTAAATTTTTAACTACTACATCATCTAATTCTGTTCTGAATGGATTTAGATAATATGGTGGTTAGAATGCCAGTAGCCTGTCTATGCTAGAACTCCCAATGGTGGATCTGCAGCTACAAGAAATTGGAGAGAAAAATGCTAGTGTAGACACAGTTACAGTCTCCATAATGTATACTGGTTGAAACTGTCTCATTGTAAGGCACTTATTTAAACTCATACTGGGGCATAGTACTGTTTCACAGCAAGGTAACAAAAATATAGCAGAACCATCCCATGTACGTTAACAGAAAAACTAGACAAAGGAGGACTAATAGGGTATAAATGTGGGTGGAGTGAAAATAATTTTCCTGAAATGCAAGTATGTTTTCTGTTTTCTCTCTCTCTTTTTCTGGTGTTTAGTTCTAAAGTTCATTGCATTGGTTTGTTTAAGTGCCATCCATCCTGATATCTTAAAGAACTCTTGATGTCTTGTCTGTCATAACTCATTAGTAATAGCTAATTATTATATGCCTATTTATAGTGTTTTGTACCTTGCATCGTGGGAATGTATAATAGACTTGAATGATAGGCGCATTGAAAAGGTGGGGGGGGGGAAGAGAGGAGGAAATACATACTTTTCATTAGCTCTGCTGCCTGGGCATCAGCTTTTTCTGTTTGCTCATATTTCACATCTTGAAATGCTTCAAGAATTACAAAAAAAACCCAAAAAACCTTAAGTGGGGACTTTGTGGATGGTGGCAAGTTTGTTAAAATGTCCAAACTGAGAAAACAAGCTTGTTGTGTGTGCTGCTCATCATCTTACAAAGATGGCAGACACCCATATCCATCAACTACTATGTCTATAATAATAATTTCTATATTTAGAATATACTTTTTTGGCTTTCAAAATGTTTTGTAAATAAAAGTTTAGATGTGCTACACAAACATTTTGATATAATTGAAGAACCTCTTAAACTGATGAGAGAAATAACCTAAAAGTTATTTATGGCTACTGATCCAGAAAGTTCCACATCTGCATACAACTATTTTTCTTACATCTTCCGCAGAGTGACATGAACTGATGTTGCACCCTTCAGAATAAAGCCAGAATTAAAATATTAAGGATCACCGAGAAGATGGCAAATGGGCAAACGGACCCTTTTTAGTATGGTTTAAGAAATTTTTCTGAGCAATCCCTCTCAGAGATAATATAACTGAATTCTGGTAGAAGAATACCCACAAAGAAAGGTGCATCTCACCCAAATTCCAGAACAGCTGGGGTGCTTCGTATCACGGTACTGAAGAGTCAGACCTGGCCAGGCTTTAGGCTGAGTACCAATATGGAATAACACACATAGTGGTTGATCTCAAGATCTCAGTACATTGGAGAAAGGCCAGACATCTTTACTGATGCTCTCTGCCCTTTCAGCAATTTTTTGTCTGTTCATTGGATCACAAGGTGCTGCCAACACAGTTTAGTTACTTACAGGGATGGAAAAATGCATAAAGTTAACTAATGACCTGTCTACCTAGGAAAATTTATTGATATAAATATACAGCTATAGTTATTCTAGCATAACTCCTTGTATGAACACTTATTCTGGCATAAGAGTGCCTTTTTCCAGTTTAGTTGTTTGTTCTGGAATAAGCATATGCACACAGGGAATTACAGTAGTATAACTGCAGTGGTATAATTATGCTAGTGAATTTCCCCAGGTAGAGAAGCCCTTCAGCCAGTTTAAACCTTGCATCAGTAACTTACTTAATGGTTTCTCTTTTTGCAGAACACCTACTTTTGCTGGAGGTCTTTTTTCAATATCGAAAGACTATTTTGAATATATTGGAAGCTATGATGAAGAAATGGAAATATGGGGAGGTGAAAATATAGAAATGTCTTTCAGAGTAAGTTTAGAGATATAATCATATGTCTGGCCTTACATCAGTCCAGTAAATGTGTCCTCAAAAAAACACACAACCCCGCCCCCCCATCCCATCCCACCCCGAAACCACGGTATCAGACGTTTGCCGTAGTTGACCGATTCACCAAAGAGGTCAAGGACTGAAAGAACATGAAGACTGAGCTATCACTAATCTATGGGCAGAAAATAATAGAATAAATAATAGGCTTGTTCACTATAGTAAGAAAGTGTTTGGATTTGATATCCAAAATTTATGCTTCCAACATTCACCTGTGGACTTGAGTTTTGATTAACAAATCCCATTTTCTAATGCAACTAGAGCTCTTACCTGGGTGTTTAAGATGAAACATTAAAATTGTAAAGTAGATGTTGTTTTTAGACCTTGTAAAAATTATAACTTCAATGGACTTATACAAAAATACTATCACCAGGTATGGCAATGTGGTGGACAATTGGAGATCATGCCTTGCTCTGTTGTTGGCCATGTCTTTCGCAGCAAGAGCCCCCATACTTTTCCAAAAGGCACTCAAGTGATCACACGTAATCAAGTTCGCCTTGCAGAAGTCTGGATGGATGAATATAAAGAAATATTTTACCGGAGAAACATAGAAGCAGCAAAAATTGTGAAACAAGTAGGTGGTGGTGGTGGTATTAGAAATCACTCTTGCTGCATTGAAAGTTTTGGTGAGCAAAAGTTATTTGTTGACAAAAGTATGTAAGACTTCTAGATAGTCTAATCAAAAGTACTAGGCAGGACAATGTTTTATTTGCTCAAATATCTAGTAAGTAAAGATAGGTGTTTCACTTGCTCTTGAATTCTGATTGTTTGCTCTTTAAAGACCTATAATTAGAGCTTGTAAGGTAGGGTACTCACCACACCTTTGTGTCAGAGTACAATGCTGCAAGGGATCCTTGTCACCAGCCTGTCCTGTAGACCGTTATACCTCTCACTGGGTCTTCTGTGGCTCAGTCCTCCAGCCAAGTCCCCTTCCAGGGTAACAACAAGATCCAAAAACTGCTTGGGGTTATTCTTAAGCTTGTCTTTTGGGGTCAGTCTTCAGTCTCACCCTGGGCTTAATATGCTTTCCATTGCGCTTTCGTGCCCCTTCCTCAGGGGCTACTAGGGGAAACCAGGCCCATTCTCTACTCTGGCTTTCAACCCAGGGACCCCGTATGAAGCAGCTAGCTGTGCTCCTTCAGACATGCTGCTGTTTCCTTGCGCCTTTCCCTGCACCACTTTCTACCTCTAAGCCTCCTTGTGCTGTTTCCCCACACCCTGTGCTTAACACAGCCTCCCTTTGGTTCTCAGGCCCCTAGCTTCTTCCTAGATACTCCCAGCTTCTCCTTTTTCTTCTGAAATAATCCCTCTTTTACTCCATTGAAGTGCTTTTAACTACCCTAATTTAGAACCTCCCCTACCGGAACCTAACCTCCTCCCTGTGGAGCCTCTTGCCTGCTTAAACCCTATCTTTGTCCGCCCCCATGGGTTTCTCTCCATGGAAGAATCCAGTCTTCTTTCTACTGAAATTCCTTGGATTCCTTATAAGATTCAGGTGCCTAATGATCCTTACCTAAGTCTGCACCCTCAGCCCAGGAGGCAATTAATCTATCAATCACAGGTGCACTAATTGGCTCTTCTGCCTATCACCTATTAGGTAAGGGGTTGAACCCCATCAAAGAGCTGTTTGAAAAATGTTGATTATCAAAAACATATTTTTGTTTGAGTAATAAAACGTGAAAAATTTGATTTGTTTGTCCCTCGTGTTTTTTCTGCTATCTCAAAAAGTTTTTGCAGGCCTTTCATTTTACCAAATGGCATAATTCCATTTTTACATCACAAAAAAAGTTTTTGTTCATTAATACAACTGAGACAGCCATTTGCAAGCAAAAAAAAATTGAATTGGCATATTTTTATGAAAATGCTGGTAAATGGTTTCACTGACCAAAATTTGGTGACTTTTTCATAAAGCAAATTTTTTTTTTTTTAAGCAAATGATTTGTGAAGGGAAAATTTGTAGCAAAACTATACCTAAGTGCCTGAACAGTGGAAATTTATCAGGCAACCATCAGGCTACTGAAATATCTTTGCCTTGAGATAGAAGAAACACTGACACTTAATTGAAATTGTTTTCTACCGTATCTATTCCATTAGTGGTTCTTAACCTTTTTTCATTTGCAGACCCCTAAACATTTTCAAATAGAGGTGCGGACCCCATTGGAAATTTCAAATGAAGGTCCGGACCCCTTGGAAATCGGTGTTGTGTGTGTGTGTGTGTGTGTATATATATATATAGTTGAATTCTGTTCAGTTAGTTTTCAGTCTGTCTTTCGCAGACACCTTAGACATAGTTTGTGAACCCCAACAGTCCCTGGATCACAGCTTGAGAATCTCTGTACTACATCAAAATATACAGTAAAACATCTAAAATAGAATAATCTGTTTAGATGCATTTTCACATTTATTATTTTTTTTTAACAAAGTATCTAGTGGGAGATTGAATCTTGTCCATGTGTACCTTTTTAGGCTGTAAGTTGAACCATGCTTAGTAACATTGGGCCAAATTTATCCCTGATGTAGCCCCACTGACTATTGAATGAATTTGGTCCAATATCCCTTTATTTTAACACACAGGTTTCTATTTAAAACACAACCTTCTTAGCTAATTGCATATTGTAAAGAAACTGATTATTCATTGTACTAATTGACTTTTATTCTGTTGTTCTAAGGTTCATTTGGGGTTTGTGTTGCTCCTTTGTTGTTTGAGCCCAAGAAATGTGATTTATAGCTGGAAACTGTTCCTTGCACTTGGTTACAGCTATTATCAGGAGTGGCTTGTTCATTTTAGTTGTTGCCAATACATTAATTACATTTACCAAACAGGTGATTACCACTCCAAAGTAAATACAAATACTTAGGATACGTGTGTCCTGTGTGTGTGTGTGTGTGTGTGTGTGTTGAAGAGAGAGAGATGAAGAGGGGGAGGGGTCTTACAGCAACAATTTTGTTGCCATTCAATATTGCTTTGGACTTTACTTATCATATAACATCTACTTTTCCCCTTCAGCCAGTTGGTCTGTCTCTTATCCCTTACACAACAAAAACTTATTTGGGCCCCTGATTAAGAGTCTTCTCTCATTTCCTATACAATTTCTGATTCTTTCTTGACCTTCCTCATGGTGCAGACTCATAGAAATGTGAAGCTGGAAGGGACCTCGAGAAGTCATTACTAAGGCTGCGAGTTTGTCACGGAGGTCACAGATTCCGTGAGTTTCCGTGACTTCTGCAGCGGCAGGGGCAGCTCAGGCAGCCCCTGCGCCATGCGCACCGGCCGCTGCTGGGGCAGTCTCGGGCCACCTCCCACCCAGCAGCAGAGTTTGGGTGTGGGAGGGGGCAGGGGGTTGGTGCACCAAACGGGGGTGAGGCGGGCTCTGGGCAGCGCTTAACTGGGGGGTTCCCTGGAAGTGGTGACATTCCCCTTGCTCAGATGCTAGGTGATGACGGGGATTCCTTGGAAGCCTATTCCAAAGCTTAACTACCCTTATAGTTAGAAAGTTTTTCTTAATATCTAACCTAAACCTTCCTTGCTGCAGATTAAACCTATTAGTTCTTGTCCTAACTTAGTGGACATGGAGAAAAATTGATCACCATCCTCTTTGTAACAGCACTTAACATATATTTGGTCTGTTAGCATGTCTCCCCTCAATCACAAGACTAAACATGTGCTTAGTTGTTGTTTTTTTAGCCTTTGCTCATAGGTTAGGTTTTTCTAAAAGTTTTTTTGTTTTGTTTTTTTGCTCTCCTCTGGACTTGCTTCATTTTGTCCACATCTTTCCTAATGTGTGTCACCCAGGACTGGACACAGTACTCCAGCCGAAGCCTCACCAGTGCTGAGTAGAGTGGGACACCTACCTCCCTGGTCTTACATACAACACTCTCTTGTTAATACGTCCCAGAATGATATTAACCTTTTTTGCAGCTGCATCACATTGTTGACTCTTCTTCAATTTGCGATCCACTATAATCCCCAGATCCTTTTCAGCAGTATTACCACCTAGCCAGTTATTCCCCATGTTATAGTTGTGCATTCGATTTTTCTTTCCTAATGGAAGTACTTTGCACTTATCTTTATTGAATTTCATCTTGTTGAATTCAGACCAATTCTCCAATTTGTCAAGGTCATTTTGAAATCTAATCCTGTCCTCCAAAGTGCTTGCAACTCCTCCTCCAATTTGGTGTCATCTGCAGATTTTATAAGCACACTCTGTACTCTATTATCTAAGTCAAGACTAACCCCATGCACACCCCACTAGATATGCCTTCGCAGTTTGACAGCAGCACTCCCTGCTTAGCAACGAACAGAAGGTATTCCTTCATTAGTTTTGTATCGGAGATCAGAACAGAAGCAGTTTAATACTGTGTTTTATTTCATGAACCGTACGTACACACAGCATTAAACTGCACTGCATATGTGTGTGTCTTCCACTACATTGCCTTACTTTGACAGCCTCACATTTACACCTAGACTAATTTATTGTTAACCTAATATAATGTGTTGGATTTTCTTAACGTAATCAGTATTACGTTTCCCTGCTCCCTGTTGCCATTGAGGACCCTTACAGCACTGTTTCAGAGGAAACATGGGTTGGGTTTGCTCTGCCTGTAGCAGTTGGAAGTGTGTGCAAGAGGTCAACGGTGCTATGTCTCTATAAGTCTAATAGATGCAATTTTTATGTATTAAATGTATTGCTGTGTTTTGTTTAAACCCAGTATTTTTTTAGATTTAAATATTAAACTCACACACTTGTTTAGTGCTACTCTCCAGGACATCTCCCAGACAGTTATATTAATCTAATTTGTTATTGTTTTGGGGTGTTTTTTCCCAACAGAGCACATTTGGAGATATCTCAAAACGACTTGATTTAAGGCAGCGGCTACAGTGCAAAAATTTTACTTGGTATCTAAATAATGTTTATCCTGAGGCATATGTACCAGACCTGAATCCTCCATTATCTGGATTTGTGAGTGTATTTCCAATTTTGGTTAATTTCTGTTTCACTATATAATCCTACCACTGAAGTCTGCCTGATTTCAACCCTAAAGTAGTATAAACAACAGTACTAGCAAGTTTAATTCAGTTATTGTTAGCATGATTCTAGAATTTCCCTGACTAGTGTGGGAATTCTTTTCTCCAAATTTTGCTAGAAGAACATTCTTTAGACTCATTCTTTAAGCTTGTGTATACTTGTATTTTTTATGAAAATCTCCCTCATGACTAGCACATGTAGCTCCACAAGTGCACTTTTTACTTGACTGATGTTTCACAACCCTGTTCAGATGGTAGTAACATTAGTACTCCTACAGTTTCTAGCTCTGAAGTGGCTGCAGCAGCAGTGTTAATTAAATGGTGAGAGGTTTTCCAGAAATTGTCAGTATAAATGCAACTTTAGATGGTCTGTAACATGGTTTTCAGAGAGAAATCCCTGCTCAAACTGATGAGGGAAACTGTGCTAGAATCCTGTTTTAGCTTAGCTTTTCCCACAACTGTCTTTGGCTCCTTCCACACTGTCTCTTGCATGTGGATTCTTTCTCAGCACTTATCTATAAGGCCAGGTCTACACTAACCCCCCTAATTCGAACTAAGGTATTCACGTAGCTGAAGTTCGAAGTACCTTAGTTCGAACTTACCTTGGTCCACACTCGGCAGGCAGGCTCCCCCGTCGACTCCGCGGTACTCCTCTCGCCGAGCTGGAGTACCGCAGTCGACGGCGAGCACTTCCGGGTTCGACTTATCGCGTCCAGACTAGACGCGATAAGTCGAACCCAGAAGTTCGATTTCCAGCCGCCGAACTAGCGGGTAAGTGTAGCCAAGGCCTAAGGCCATCATGTTTTCCTGCACCATATTACTTCTCATGTGTTATAGTCCTATAAGAAATTAGCCTACTAATATTGGCTAAGTTCAGGTGCATTTGGGAGTAGTTAATGTTTATTGTAAACTGTTTTGTTTTAGCTTTCTCATATAACCTTAATAGGTTGCTTGCCTTCTTATATTGCCAGCTGTTCAGAATAGAGAATATGTCTTCCTGAGTGTGTGGACAATGCCTAACCTATTGTGGGTACTATCAGAATACAATAATGAGGTTTAGTCTAGCAAAGATTTAACTTCTTGTGTGGACAGGGTTGTACATTTAAAGATAGAACTTTAAGTAAAATAGCTGTTTACTCTTTTTAATTGTTGGCAAGTTTTAAATAATGTAGTTATATGCAAAAATAACTTGTTTTCTTCAGTTAAAAAATGTAGGTAGACGTCTATGTCTAGATGCTGGCGAAAATAACCACGGTGGCAAACCATTAATTATGTATACCTGTCATGGACTTGGGGGAAACCAGGTAAAATGTTGTTATACTTAATTTCTTTCGCAACTGGTCCACACAGATATAACATATCCCTATGCAAAGCTTAACTTTCCTTCTAGTAGTTTTGGCATACATATTTTAGTATGAAGATAAGCTAATTGTTTTTGTTACCTATATTATTCTTGCATGAGACGACAGTAAATATAAAAATTGTAAGGACGTTTCTATGATCTTTCACTGTTATGGTTCAGATCTTCAAAATTGCTTGCACAAAAACTGCACATGTAACTTTAGACAGACAAATACCCAGGCGCATTCATGCAAGTGAGAAATTGCATACACATACAATGGTATTTTTACCGTAGAAGTGGTTTGAAATTAGTTAAAAGAATAGCTTCGGGTATCCTCACCTATAATAGCAGAAGCTGACACTGTAATAATTGCAAACTGTATTACAGAGAACCTTTTTTTTTTTAATTTAGAAAATTGTTGGTGCAAATTTCTAGTATAACGATATTCTCAGGAAGAATTGAACCTCCATTTCTGAGTCTGGGCTATTCAGTAGGCCTTCCCTTAGTGGAATTTAAAGGGGCAGTTGGATGAAAAAAATTCTGGACACATGCAGAAAGTGCACAGAATAGATATCTCAGCCACATGACACCAGTTCACGGCTCTGTCATGCAACTTGCAGTTCTTTCTCATTTGACTTCTCTGCTACAGAAACACTTCTTTTTCCTCACTTTTCCTTTGTAAATGTTACCTTGATTCTTTTCTCTTATTCTTCCTCCTACTGCTTCTTTCTCTGTCACCAGGACTCACGCTGTCAAGGAGGAAGCCGGTGGGAAACTGTCAGTGGGTGATCGAACAGCCAGACCTGAGCTACCTGCCCTGTCATGCTTACAGCCTCATAGTGGGAGGTCAGAGTGGTCTGCCCTGTGCCAATAAAAATCTAGCATTTTGAGAAATATAACATTTTAAATTGCTGAATTTCCCAACAGGAGCTCTCCTTGACACACAGCTCTTGGGGCACGAATTGCCTTTTAATGTGTGTTACAGCATAGTGCATCTCTGATACTGAGTCCTCTAGCCACTACTGTAGTGTTAAAAAACAAAACAAAAAAGAACTGTCTATGCTGCTTTCTTAAATGCTGCCTCACACAGTCATTAGTAGTAAATGTTACTAAAAACACTGTAAACATCAGTACATTGAATAAAAATAGTTGTACCTGACAAGTTATTTCACTGCTGATTTGATACACCTCTACCCCACTATAATGCGACCCAATATAATGGGTTCGCGTATAGCGTGGTAGCAGCAGGGCTCCGGCGGTGCTTTAAAGGGTCCGGGGCTCCGGCTGCTGTGGGGAGCCCCGGGCCCTTCAAATCACCGCTGGAGCCCTGCCACCCCTACCCTGGGGCTGCGGCAACGGGGCTCGCCGGTGCTTTAAAGGGTCCGGGGCTCCCCGCAGCGGAGCCTGGAGCTCTTTAAATCACCGCCGGAGCCCTGCCGCCCCTACCCCGATATAACAGGGTTTCAGCTATAACGCGGTAGGGATTTTTGGCTCCACACAACCGCGTTATAGCAGGGTAGAGGTGTACCTGTTCCTTTTATCAAATCTTTTTTTATAATTCTCTCTTCCTCTTTTTCTCAGTAAAATCATTGGATGTTATCTATGGTATGTTCAGTTGTTAACAGTGTTTAACAGCTGCACAACCTAGGGGGTCTGATCCTGCACCATTAAAGTAAATGGAAATTTTCCCTATTAATTTAAATGAGAAAAGGGCAGTTATAGGTCTGTGCTAGCTGACTTGCTATGTTAGTCTTTTCTATTATACAGCATTTTCCTCTGGATCCCATTCACTATATTACTTGAGGGATTATGATTCTATATTAATCTCTTTAGCAGTTTACACAAGCTTGGTACAAAAGCATGGTATTAAAAGATCTGCCACACAAAGGCATAGTCTGCCATATCTATTTTAATAAGTTGTCTTGGTGAAGTGAAGCTAAATTCCACATTTTTTCTGCTCAGTCATAATATTCTGAATCTTGTTAAAATTCTTTTAAGATCTGTATTTATTGTAGATGGTGCTGGTAGTGATGTGTGTAGTTAAAGATGCTCAGCACTTCCTAAGATGATGATGCATTTTCTGTTGCTTATAAACTTTGCCAAACTTTATTGGTTTGGTTTGAAATTTTCCATGCTGGGTGTCTGCCTCAAGGTGATTTTTTTTATTTCAGCAAAATATGGTACAGCTATATCTCAAAAAGAGATTAGGGAAAAATACTAAACTCCATATTTAGCAACTCAGTGTTTTGGAGCAGGTACATAAAATATGGAAAGGTGGTCATACTGATGTCAGGGATGTGCCTTTACCATCCCTGTAAAAACCTGCCAAAATTTGGCTGACTTTTGAGCGTCTAAAATCTCTGTTAAGCATATGCTCAGTAGAGATACGTTAGAGTTTGTGAGCTAAATTCTGTGAATATTCCATGTACACTGCATGCTGCATCCCAGGTCAGCAGGGGCTGAACAGGGCTTTCTCTGCAATTGTTCCTCCTGGAGATCAGGAGCCTTTGTGATGTTGGGTACAGGAGCTGAGTGCAAAGAGACAGTTTGTTTTCCCTGTATTCTCCCCCTGCTAGGGCCCAGGTAGTGAGGAGGAGGAAGCTGACTGTATAGGAGTGAAGAACCAAACTTAGGGGTGTAGGTTGGGGGGGTGGGGGAGACTGGGGTGAAGAGCCTTGGGGAGATGTGGGTGTGGGAGACCGTGACTTGGTGCTGATGAACAGACTGGTATAATGAGGGAGATGAGAATAGAGGAGGCTGGAACTGTAACAAGCACTGGCTGGAAGGGCTAGGTTTTAGGTGGGGACATAGGTAGAATTTTTTTTAATAACTAGAGTACACTCCCATAATAACCTAGGATTCCTGAATCTCCGCATTCCTCTGTGGTCATCAAAGAGTTGTGAAACACACTAGCAAAATGTGTGCCTACGTATCCTTTTAGTGACTAGCCTCCATAGAGGACAGCAATCTACTATTGTTATCAGTTACTCTATGAAGTCAAGTGGCTGAGATCTGTGCTGTGGACATAAAGGTTATAACCCTGCTAATGAACCAAGTGGGAATCAGTACATTTCCACATGATGAAATTTTGTTTTCAGTTGCTTTTTAAAAAAATGGTAGTAAATTACATAGAAAAATATATTAAAAGTCAAGTAATCAAAAGTGCTAAATTTATGCTTTAATGCTAAAATTAAAGTAGTGCATGCAACCTTAATTTGGCCCCTTTTATGAGGCAGGGTCCTATGGAAAAATAGTAATGTGATCATGTAATAAAAGATTCTATCATAATTCAGGGGGCTGAATTAAGATTGTAATATAGTTTTTTGTGTAATAATTAAAAATACTAGCTGTAATACTTACTTCGCTTGCATGGAAACGTATTATATGAATATTTTACTTATGTAAATATTTGCATAACATGCATGATATATTTGAACCTGGATTCTATATTTAAACTGTTAGATAACAGAATGATATAATGTTGTATGCAATAGTGATGTAGGAATGGTGGTCCCAGGATATTGGAGAAAGAAGGTGGGTGAGGTAATATCTTTTATTGGACCAACTTCTGGTGGTGAGAGAGACAAGCTATCGAGTTAGTTTTCCAGATCTGAAGAAGAGCTCTGTATAGCTCGAAAGCTTGTCTCTTTCACCAACAGAAGTTGCTCCAATAAAAGATATTACCTCACCCACCTTGTCTCTCTAGAATGATGCAATATATTTTTTAAACTTGACTTGTTTTTGTCATAGAATTTCAAGGGATGAATTTAGTAGCTGTGGTTGCTTGTTCCCACCTAATATATGTAAAAATGTATTTAATTTTTATTTATATAGTACTTTGAATACTCTGAACACTCTGAGATTCGACATAACATTCAGAAGGAGCTCTGCCTGTATGCTTCTCAAGGACCAGTGCAGCTTCGGGTCTGTAACTACAAAGGTCAAAAAACTTTCACCCCTGGAGAAGAGAAGTGGGAACTTCGAAAGGTACATCCAAGAAATTTATGCAGTAAATAAAGATGCATCCATTTTAATTGAAAGAGAGATTTTTTTGGTCAATTATGAGTTGCTACAGGGTTAGCATGACTTTATTTATAGCAAAAGACAAGAATGGATAGCTCAGCTCTGGGGGAAAAAACGTGTATAGACATTTTCACCTTTAGGTTGCAGATTAAAATACAGCCCACTCTGTTGGCTATGCTGTGGCAAATGTAAAATGATGGCCTCAGTCCAGTTCCAGCGGAGAAATGTCCACATCACAAAAAACTTAAACAATTGGTGCGTTAGCACCCATGTTGAACTTTCTTGGTGGAAATGCCAAGGATCAGCTGGGCATAGTGAATGGACTTTTCATTCATCCCTAGAAGTGGCCCCTCCCTGACAGCTTGATATAAATTTGTGGGACAATGTGGGGCAGTTTGTTGTGCTATTGCATGGTGCTTTACCTGTTTGAATAAATAGGGTTTCAGTCTCTGAGTTTACCTGTTGGGCTGTACCCTAAAAAACTAGCAGTAAATTCACAAAAAATTACAAAAAAATATTTAAATTTACTCTGTGTGCTGTTTTGTTTTGTTTTTCTCCCTTCTCCTCTCTAGGATCAACTGTTGTATAATGCAGCATTAAATATGTGCCTAACGGGAAACGGAGAACATCCAAGTCTGGTATCATGTAATCCATCAGATCTATTCCAAAAATGGGTTTTTGGCCAAAACAATTAAGTACAGCTACTTATAAATAGGAAATATTTTGTTAAAAGGATACATCTGCCTTGTGAAAAGGATATATCCACTTTAAAACTGTGACCATATATGCACACTTCATTTTTTAAAATGATACAAAGCTAGCTAATGTAAAATATTCCAAGAGCAATTTTCTTATTTAAAAAAATATAAAATTGCACAGTTGCAAAGATCCCTTAAGCGTCTGTGTAGAAAATACCAAAGAATATTTTGAGGTCTCCACAGGTAGGAAAAATGTTTACAATATGTTGGAAATGTAATTTCCACAATAAGCTTAGCTTTTTATATATGTTAACCACTGATTTTACAGATATTGTAATCTCCTCTATTTTGGGATAAAGTGTAGGGTTTTATATATTCTCATTTTGTAATGACTGCAGAAAAACTGGTCAATGAAGGTTAGGAGGTGGATCTTCGTACAGTGTCTGGAAACTATTGTGCCTTTATAAGTGGTAATACTGTTTTAGCACTCAGGTGTTTGACTTTTCTGCTGACAGTTTCACTTAAAGAAAAGTAAATGAGAAAGGAAAAATTTTAAAACATTCTTAGCACTTCTCTCTCCAATTTTACACACTTAAAACAATATTTGGACCCGGAGATAAAGCCAATGGGAAACCTTAACCCACTCAATTTCTAGCACATCAATCTTTGCTGAATGCAAGAAAAAAATCCTTCAGAATTTTTATTAAAGTATGTAATTCATATATTCTTTAAATGGAAAATATGTATTGTCCTGGTATTAATCTGATATGCTTTTTTTAAATTTGAATCCAATACACATTACCATTTGTCACAGATTTCCTAAACTGAAGATTTTTTTGTACTTGTCGGTTTTCAGAAATTGCAGAACATAAACCTACTATTTGTTGCTAGCACTCTGTTCATTACTGTTCTTTTATTCTGTCAATAAATGTTACTGTTTTGTCTGCCTGTCTTAGTGATTCATGTAGTGTATACTGTATGGGTTTCTAATGCATATATGCAATTCCTTTTATGTTTTTCCCTTGAGTGTCTGATTTCTGGTTTTAATCATTCAGAAGGAGAGTCCAACTGCATTACAGAATTTTATAATGAAATATTGCCTTTTAATAGAAAATAAATATGCAAATATAGTTTGGTGATACTCTGGATGCACAATTGTAGTTTTATTCATATTCTTCCATATGTATGTTAGAAGTACAGTATTTTTCCTATGTTCTCCCTTGGGTAATTGATTACATAAACTGGTCTTAAACACCTTTAAATCAGAGTTTTCCTCCAAATTTCCCCTTGCAACTACTTGTACTGCCCCTTTCATAAATGAAAGATATCATTCATAAATGATCTGGAAAAAGGGGTAAACAGTCAGATGGTAAAATTTGCAGATGATACAAAATTACTAAAGATAGTTAAGACCCAGGCAGACTGCAAAGAGCTCCAAAAGGATCTCTCAAAACTGGGTGACTGGGCAACAAAAGGGCAGATGAAATTCAATGCTGATAAATGCAAAGTAATGCACATTGGAAAACATATTCCCAACTATACATATAAAATGATGGGGTCTAAATTAGATGTTACCACTCAAGAAAGAGATCTTGGAGTCATTGTGGATAGTTCTCCGAAAACATCCACTCAATGTGCAGTGGCTGTCAAAAGAGCTAACAGAATGCTGGGAATAATTAAGAAAGGGATAATAGGACAGGATAATAGGACAGAAAATATCATGTTGCCTCTATATAAATCCATGGTATGCCCACATCTTGAATACTGGGTGCAGATGTGGTCGCCGCATCTCAAAAAAAATATATTGGAATTGCAAAAGGTTAAGAAAAGGGCAACAAAAATGATCAGGTGTATGGAACAGTTTCTGTATGAGGAGAGATTAATAGGACTGGGACTTTTCAGCTTGGAAAAGGGATGGCTAAGAGGCGATATGATTGAGGGCTATAAAATCATGACTGGTATAGAGGAAGTAAATAAGGAAGTGTTGTTTACTCCTTCTCATAACACAAGAACTAGGGGTCACCAAATGAAATTAATAGGCAGCAGGTTTAAAACAAATAAAAGGAAGTATTTCTTCACACGGTGCACAGTCAACCTGTGGAACTCCTTGCTGGAGTCTGCTGTGAAGGCCAAGACCATAACAGGGTTCAAAAAAGAACAAGATAAATTCATGGAGGCTAGGTCCATCAATGGCTATTAGCCAGGATGGGCAGGGATGTTGTCCCTAGCCTCTGTTTGCCAGAAGCTGGGAATGAGCGACAGGGGATGGATCACTTCATTCCCTTTGGGGCACTGGCCATTGTCGGAAGACAGGATACTGGGCTAGATGGACCTTTGGTCTGACCCAGTAGGCCCATTCTTATGTTCTTACTCCTATAATCCTTTTCTAGTGGAGTTTTCTTCTTCAGCCAAGAAATCCCTTTTCAAGAACCAAGGGTATGTGTACTACTCTTTGCAAATTCCTAGTTTGGGAAATGAAAGAGAGGCTAGACCCTGTCCAAGATCTGAGGAGACTAAGAGCATGCAGAAATTACATTTTAATAAAGAGAACCCTGTTTCATAAGAGATTTGTACACCTTGATTTGGCAATCTAGGCACAACCATAATCGAAATAATAGTGGTATGTTATTAAACTATTGCTTAAAATCACCCATCAATTTTATTTTAATGCAATAAAGCTTTGTCACAATAAATGAACTTCCACTTAAACACTAGCAATATGGCTTGTTATATGAAGCCTTTAAATTAAGTCTACAGAAGCTTTTTCTATCCTTTTATTATAAATGCAAAGATAAGAGTTTGCAATCACCTCAGAAAAAGTAGAAATAAATAACTTTAAATACAGGTATGTCATCCCTGAGTGTACACTGTGTCTCTTCAATTTGACATAAAGAAGGGAGAAATGCAAAGAAGAACCAGAGCCTGGAAGATTTAAAAATAGGAGAAAGTAGAAACAAAGAGGAGACTGTTACTAATTGCTGCTGCTGCCTAAAAGGAGGTGGAAAAGAAACAGCTGAGATTCCTGATGAAAGTTTCTGCCAGTGAAATGGGCAGTGCTGCCTTAACCAAGGGAGGAATTCTGTGGGAACTGAAAACAAGGCAGCTGGGCACTATGTGTCAGGGAGATGAGTCCTGGGCTGCTGGGCCTGTTGTGGGAGAAGAGAACTAAGTGGTAAGGAAGCATGTGCTGAGGAAGAGGGGATATCAGATACCTAATAAACATATGCAAGTGCATTGCAGGAGCAAGGGGGACCTGATGGCAGAAAAGTGTATGCGTAGGAGATGGTGGAACAGAATAAACCAGATTAGGAGAGGAAATGAAGAGCGAAAGTAAATGGTATGATTGACTTATTTTTAAAAAGGACAAAACAATTCACATTAAGACAACCAAAAATACAAATGTGTTTTCCTAACACTACTTTTCCATTTAAATTACTGTAGTTGCCATGGTGAAGTATGCAATCATGAGAGGTTAAAGATGTGATTATGAATGGGAGACGAGGGTACTCAAGCCAATCTTTTTATTAAGATGTGATCCATGTGAAGAAAAAAGTCTGAGAACCCCCTGGATTGGGGGCAGAGGGAGGTTTCAAAGGGCATATTAAAGGTAAGGTTGTTCATGCTGCTTCAAGTTCCCTTACGCTCCCCATTCTTTAACCCTTCCCCCCCCCCAATAGTTTGTAACTATGCCAAAATGTTAGGGATAAAATTTTCCTTACTGGGCATCTGCCTCAGGCTGAATGTTTTTGGAAAGTTTCAGCTAAAACCGTTCAGCCATTTCCAAGAACAAGATTAAGGAAAATGCATTGTTTTTTGCCTTGTTGAAACAAATTTTTACAATCATTTAACTGAGAAGTTCTAGCATCCCCATGCTCTTGGAACGTGGCGTGGGTGGGATCAGGGCCGGTGCAACCCATTAGGCGACCTAGGTGGTCTAGGGCGCTAGCATTTGGGGGGGCGGCATTTTGGGTCCTTCGGCAGCCGGATCTTCGGCCGCCCCAGTCGTCGGCATTTAGGTGGAGGGAGCTGGGGCAGGGGGGTGCGGGGAGGCCTGCCTGCAGCAAGTAAGGGGGGGGCGGCACGTTCCCCACCCCAGCTCACCTCTGCTCTGCCTCCTCCCCTGAGCATGCAGCCCCACTCTGCTTCTCTCCCTCCCAGGCTTGCAGCTGCCAAACAGCTGATTGGCGCCGCAAGCCTGGGAGGTGGGAGAAGTGGAGTGGTGATGGTGTGCTCGGGGAGGAGGCAGAGCAGAGGTGAGCTGGGGCGGAGAGCT